TTATTTTGAAAGTGTAAATGATGGAAATAAAATCTAACTTTTGTTGACATATTATAAGAATGTCTCATCTGTAATTTGATGCCTTTTGAAGATTTTTCCATCTTTCCTTGGCTTCTTTATGCACATTAATACAAATTTTTAGCTGGGGTGCCCAAACTTTCGATCCCCACTGAACATGTAAATGCATTTAGGTGCATCAAACACTGCGGAATTAATTTATTTCATTGACCAGAACTCTAGTTCAAATTCAAGAGCTTAACTCGCCTATGGTTAATGCGTGTTTAGACCTATTTACATGTATCAAGCTTTTTTCTGTAAAAATGCAGCAGCTCCCAGATGCACTGGCAGTGGGTTTTGTATTCTGCCTCTAAACTCCCCTAAACGCCTATGTGTGCATGGACACATAAGCTAGCATGGAGGGGCATTTCGAAACAGAAAAATTGCCAGATGCCCCCAAAACAGTGTTAAATCTTTGCGTGTGCATGAGCCCTTAGGCGTACCTAAATATCATCAATAAGGTTCTGGTTATACGTCACACATTTATAATTAGGTGTGACTTTATGAGTAAACTGCCTCAATAATTATGGAAGTTACAGGAAGACAACAAACCAGTAAGACCAAGTCATTCCGGGCAGAATTGGGCTGTGTGGATTCTTACATAACAAAATACTTTCCAGCATGGGCTGTCTCAACATATAAATATGTGTGTACACCCACTAGTACAGGCAATTGTCTTCCCAGCAAAGGATCAGACAGTTCGGGACGTTCTCTATTACACAGGTAGGTTTCTAATTTAACATGTTTTTGCTTGTACTGGACAGCAATGATGTTGATTGACTAAAGTAGTAAAGTGAATGTTGGCTTTGAATACTGTATTTTCAATATGTAAAATATATTCCTATTCTTAAAGGGTAACGTCTTTAAAAAAAAAAAGAGCTAATAAAACAATAATATTGTTTATACGCTTGCTATACAAGTCATATTGTATTAAAAATAACCATTCCTTTTCAATCTGCAGCACTGTAATTTGCTGTAAAATTCAATGCAATATGATATATCCTGCAGGCATTCTATACAACTTCTCCAGAAATGTCATTTCCTGCTTATTACTGATTAATCCCAGAAGTCTGCAATAGGATACAGGTCAGATTTTAGGCACCCACTGCAATAGAAATGTAAGTTTTAGTGAGATACTCTCCAAAGGTTCATCACTTCTAAAGGCATGCAGACACTGTTGATTTCCTCATTAGAACACAGAAAGTGCATCAGCTGATTAATAATGAACCAGACCCTCCTATTAAGAATGAGCTTGTGATCACTCTGATGAAACAAACAGCTATTTCTTCACAAAAAAAAAAGGAAGGAATCTTCTAAAAAGTTTATTAACATCCTCGCAAAGTACATTGATTACCCTTAGCGGTTTGTTTTTTCTCATCAAATGTGAAGTTGGAGAGAGTTGAGAGGTGGCGTTAGCTGCTGTACCATTAGTGTCGGTGTTTGCTGCGCAGAAACTGTCCCAGCTATTTATTCTCCACCCATGTCCCAAACTTGTCCAATATTTGAGAGATTATAACTGTTATTAACCAAGTGTATGACATAAAACTCCCTATGAATCCCTTGGTTTGTCTTCTGGGGGCCTTAGATGTTGAACTATATACCCCGGCTACTTATATAGCCTTTACCTGTCTCTTACACCTAGCAAGGAAACCTATTGCACGTTTCTGGCTCTCCTCTTTCCCCCCCAGCCGTAATCAATGGATTGAACAATTGAATTACATTCTTCTTACAGAGTAATCAACGAAGAAATGTCTCTAAGAAATTTATGACCATATGGCAATGCTAGCTTGATACCCCTGGCTTAGCCCCTCCACAACTCATCCTATATAGGCTATTGCAAATACAGAATCAGATATTTTGATATCGTATACACAGCTGTTTGCACTTGTTCACCTAGAGCTACCTAGTAATTATATATTTAATTTAAAATGATTGCTACAGTGCCTTGAAAAAGTATTCATACCCCTTGAAATTTTCCACATTTTGTCATGTTACAAATAAAAAGGTAAATGAATTTTTGGGGATTTTATGTAATAGACCAACACAAAGTGGCGCATAATTGTGAAGTGGAAGGAAAATGATAAATGGGTTTCAAAATTTTTTACAAGTAAATATCTGAAAAGTGTGGCATGCATTTGTATTCAGCCCCCCTTACTCTGATATCCCTAACTAAAATCTAGTGGAACCAACTGCCTTCAGAAGTCACCTAACTAGCAGAGTCCACCTGTGTGTAATTTAATCTCAGTTTAAATACATCTGTTCTGTGAAGCCCTCAGAGGTTTGTTAGAGAACATTACTGAACAAACAACATCATGAAGGCTAAGGAACACACCAGACATGTCAGGGATAAAATGTGCGAGAAGCCATGTGGGGGGCACAGCAAACATGTGGAAGAAGGTGTTCTGGGTAGATTAGACCAAAATGTAACTTTTTCACCTAAAAGCAAAACTCTATGTGTGACGGAAAACTAACACTGCACATCACTGGCCTGAACACACCATCCCCACCGTGAGACATGGTGGTGTCAGCATCATGTTGTAGGGATGCTTTTCTTCAGCAGGGACAGGGAAGCTGGTCAGATTTCATGGGAAGATGGGTGGAGCCAAATACAGGGAAATCTTAGAAGAAAATCTGTTAGAGTCTGCAAAAGACTTGAGACTGGGGCGGAAGTTCACCTTCCAGCAGGACAACGACCCTAAATAAACAGCCAGAGCTACAATGGAATGGTTTACATCAAAGCATATTCATGTGTTAGAATGGTCCAGTCAAAGTCTAGAGCTAAATCCAATTGAGAATCTGTGGCAAGTCTTGAAAATTGCTGTTCCCAGACGATCTCCATCCAATTTGACAGAGCTTGAGCAATTTTGCAAAGAAGAATGGGCAAATATTTCACTCTCTAGATGTGCAAAGCTGGTAGAGACATCCCCAAAATGACTTGCAGCTGTAATTGCAGCAAAAGGTGGTTCTACAAAGTATTGACTCGGGGGCTGAATACCAGGGCCGGATCTAGCCTGTCGGATTTAGATGTGCAGTAAAAATGTCAGGGGGGCAGAGGATGCAAGGTCAGCAGGGCAGTGTATAATAGTCAGTAGAGCAGTGTACATGGGGTTGGCAGTTTGTAGGGCAATGTACAGGGGTTAGCATGGCAGAGAACAGGGGTCAACAGGACAGAAGATAGGGGTCAGCAGTGCAGAGGACAGGGGTTAGCAGGGCAGGGTACAGGAGTCAGCATGACAGAAGACAGTGGTCAGCAGCGTTGAGGACAGGGCCAATGCTGGCAGGGCACTTAAGAGATCTCCTCCCTCCTCCCCACACAGCACAACATAGCTGAGATCAGTATCCCTCCACAAGTGTGTAGCTCGCTATTGCAGCTGCCAATCCAATCAGGGAATGTCATAGGTCAGAACTGCAACTTCAGCTAGCTACACATTGTGCAGATTGATGCTGTGAAGAATCTGATCTCAGCTATGTGTTATGTGGGGGAGGAAAAGATCTGTTGAGTGCCTTGTGTGCAGTGCGGGCAGTGTCAGGACATCATCTAGCACTCAATGTGTAGGTGACAAACTGCACCCCCCCCCGAAAAAAAAAAACAGCACTAATCAACAAACTCACCCACTAAGCATAAATCCCTTCTGCAAGCCCAAATTCTACCCAAACAAAACTGCAAAATTTCCCCATCCTCACAGTCCAAACCCCCCTTCCAGCATTCATCTTTGCCCCCAATCCCACCTTCCAGCTCAAATCCCCCCCAGTCCCTAACAAATCTTCCATGCCCCAAAAATCACCCCTCCTAGTACAAACCCTTTCCTCCAAATCCCCACTCCTAATACTAATTCTCTCACCAATCCCCCCAGTACAAATCTCCACTCCTAGCGTAAATCCTTTACCAAATTCTCCCTTCTACTAAAAATCCCCCCCAACCCCCCTCCTAGTACAAATCCTCTACCCAAATCCCCACAACATGATGCTGCCACCACCATGTTTCATGGTGGGGATGGTGTGTTCAGGGTGATTCCTATGTGATTCCTGGTGTGAACTGGCCTTAAATGCGTCACTCTGCACCAGTGTACTGACCATTAGGCTCCATGCACACTGGGCGTTTAATAATGCTGGTAGCATTAGCGGTGTGAAGTTACAAGTTCTTCAGCGGTTTTTAGCGTTTTTGCATTAGCGTTTAGCCGCGTTTTATCCAAAAAAAGCTCAAAAAAGGTCCATAAACGTGTTTTACCATGTTTTGCTGCGTCTTTTAGCGTTAATGAGTTTTTCCAGCTAAAAACTCCTCTAGGAACCCACTAGTTCTGGGTTTTTTTTCCAGCCAAAAAACGCTGATTACCCACTTGCCTACAGGGCACTTATACCCCCTTCCTGCCCAGGCCAGTCTTCAGCTTTCAGCGCTGTCGCACTTTGAATGACAATTGCACAGTCATGCAACACTGTACCCATATGAAATTTTTATAATTTTTTTTTTGTGACAGATAAAGCTTTCTTTTGGTGGTATTTAATCACCTCTGAGTTTTTTATTTTTTGCTAAACAAACCAAAAAAACTGAAACTTTTGAAAAAAAAAATGTTTTTTCTTAGTTTTTGTTATAAAATTTGTAAATAAGTGATTTTTCTCCTTCACTAATGTGCGCTGATGAAGCTGCCGTGATGGGCACTGATAGGCTGCACTGATGGGCACCGATAGGTGGCACTGATGGGCACTAATGAGGAGGCACTAGTAGGTGGCACTGATGGGCATTGACAGGCATCACTGATGGGCACTGAAAGGCAGCACTCATATATGGCACTGATAGGCGACACTGATAGGCGACACTGATAGGTGGCACTGACTGGCACTGTTAAGTGGCACTGACTGGCACTGTTAGGTGGCACTGACTGGCACTGTTAGTCAGCACTGACGGGCACTGATAGGTGGTACTGATTGGCAGCACTGATAGGTGGCACTGACTGGCATTGATAGGTGGCACTGATAGGTGACACTGAAAGGCAGCTCAGATGGGCACTGATATGTGGCATTGATGTGCACTGATATTCACTGATATGTGGCACTGATGGGCACTGGCAGGTGACATTGATGAGCACTGACAGCTGGTATTGATGGTCACTGACAGGTGGCACTGCTGGGGCTACACTGATCATCAGGGCACACTGATCATCAGTGCCCTGATCATCAGTGTACATGTCCCCTCTGAGGAATGCTGATTACCGGCTCTCCTCTCCTATCGAGCTGTCAGCGTGACAGCTCGTGAGGAGAGAAATGCCGATAACCATGATTAGACACATGGAAAAACCTCCTGCGCACAATCCTAATAAGCTAAAGATAAGCTGCTACACCTGCACCTTATTACCTAAAGTGATAAACCAAACTAAACAAAAAAATAAGTGCAGTGGAAATGACATCACCTACGCGTTGTGTCACCTCTCACCTCCCTGAGGAAGTCACTGGTGGCACTTTTTGTTTATATATCAAGTTTTTTTGAGTGATGTGTTCACTTATTCCATTTTTATGATTTAGTTGTCATTTATATTGATGAATAGAGTGTGTTGACACTGAGCACTATCATTATTAGATATATCCTCTGGTATAGGGGCTTATTAATGGTTATCTTCACTTGTAGCACCATTGTGTTGTTGCACTTTTTTTTCTTCAATGTGATTCATGATTAGACACAGCTGATCACATGATCAAGCCGACATCTTCGGCTCTTTCCATTGGTCGGTGATCTGCTATGTCCAAGGGACACAGTGCACCACCGATCGCCACGCTGTGCACTCCTGGAGCTGCTCATGCACGGTTAGAGTGGGAGGACGTATTATGACGTCCTCCTAGAACGAGAGAACCGCCTTGTGCCCGTCATTACCTTATATGGCGGGTGGGAGGCGGTTAAAGCCTATATGTGCATGGACACATAGGATAACATGCGGAGAAGTTTACTGGCTGTAGAAAAGAATGCCAGAAGCTAAAAACAGCAGCTGTAAAAACATCCAGTGTGCATGAGGACTTAAGCCCATGTGAATGAGGCATTACAGAGGGTTTGTGGATGATCAGTCTTATTTATAAAATCCAATAACCTTTTTTTTATCTTTCAAAGCTTATTTTCGCAACAGAAAAATGCCTAGGGTTCAACCACAGTTCGATTATTTTATGGCCAACTACAATGTACCTCGTGTAATCACATACCCAACTCCTCCATACACGACAGTTCGGATAAACATAGGACTTCATCTGAATCCTCCAATCGCAAGACCTAGGTTGTTGTTGGATATGACTAGGAAGTTTTCATCAGCAAAAGGTAAAACAAATAACTTATAAACACACAGAATATTCTGCAAAATACTACCACACAAATAATGCTTTTTAGTGTTACTATGGATTTTAAATGAAATTCCAGCCAATAATATTTTTGTTTTGTTTTGGAAAAAGTGAGGAAGGCATAGAACTTTTATCAGGTGTTCATGCTGTCTGTGGCCCCCTTGGGTTTCCCTTGACTTCCAGTTCTGGGGACAATGATGTCAATGGGACAGGGAGTCAGGGAAAATATCCAACAAGGACGTAAAAAGCTTGCTTTTTTCCACTTTCGTATAAAAAATGGTTTTATTGCTTTAGTGATCTGAGAGATCCTAGTGGAGTCAGGTCCGGAATTAAAATCACTGATTTAGCCCTGGTTCGCACTATTCAGGCTGGTTGCAGGTGCAGATTGCATCTGTTCCCGCACCCACAGCCAAATTGTGCTGCTCTTACGAGACGTGCAGGGCTGCAGCCCCACGCATCTCAGCTCGCAGCGTGATTGCACCCCAGGGAAACCGCATGGTCTTTTTGACTATCCTACGGCCTCATTTTTTAAAAGGTGCATGCACCTTTTTCTGCAGGAAACGAGGGCACAGCAGCCCATTCATATGAATGGGCTGCTGTGCCCGAGCAAAGGAGGGCCACATGGCCCGCAATAGTGTGAACCGAGTATTAAAGTGTTACTAAACCCACAACAGGAAAATCAGCATGTATATGCAGTTCACTCTACATGCGTTTCAGTTGCTTTTTCTCTGCATCCAAAACGCACAGAAAGTAGGTTATATGGTTGTCAATGTCATAGTTCACATCAATGCTTGCAGTTCCAGTGCGTTCCAGATGCAGAAAAAAGAGTAGAACAGGCTGCATTTTTCCTGCACAGAACTGTACTGGAACATGGTAAAATGGATTAAAAACACACCGGAATGCACTGGAACGCACCAAAAAACGCACTGGAAAGTACATGGCCCTATTTAAATTGAAGAAGAGGAGAGGGGAAAAACGAACTGGAATGCATTAAAAACACATTAAAAAATGCATCACAAATGCACCGAAACGTGCCAAAAACGTGCATGCAGGAACTCACCTGGGCTGTGTTTCTATAGTGTGAACCCCCTTAAGCATGCTTGTTATACTTACTGTGGAACCTAAGGGGTTAATCCTCTGCAATGTGTAAAACCCCGGTTGATCCTGACCTCTCTGATCCTTCCTTTCTTCCAGTGTCCCACTCTTATCTCCTGATAAGACATATTGTGCAGAGTCACTCTGCACATGCTCAGTTTGGTGTGTATAGCTAGAGAGTTTTTTTTTTTCTTCTGGAGAGTGCATGTGATCAGCACAGGGCCAATCAGCACTGTCAAAACAGAGGTCAGGGGTTCTGCATCCTTCTAGAGCAAAATGAAAACTCCTACTGCAAGCTTAACCAGTGTTCGGCAGGACACCGATAGAAATCACAAGACTGCTCTAACTGCTGATTAGAAATTATATCAGTTTATATTTACTAAAATAATTGTGCTTACATGTTCTGTGTACCTTGGGAGACCAGAGTGAATGCAGGGTCCTGGGTTTAGTAACACTTTAACTGTTTACCAAAATAGTTGCATTTAAGGTATGCCGTCAAATATAATGTGCAGCAAAAATAGCAACTGCATGACCAAGATGGCAGCTTCCTTCCCTGTAAAGTACAGTCCTGTTCAGCAGGACAAGACACCTGATATTTGGGACAAGAGACCTGATCTGGACAGTGAAAGGAGAAGCAGCAGACTTATGAGCTCACCTCACTAACCACCTCACTAACCACTCTGCTCTCTTCTCCTATCAGCATGTACCTTGCACTGCAGCCTAAATGATTGGCTCGTTGTGCTACGTCTCCCTCCCCAGTGTGAACTTTGCACCTGGGCTGCTGTAGGTGGCTGAAAACAAGTCAAATTCAGGTATTAAAATTACTAACATTAAAAAAAAAAAATGACTACATAGCTGTGTGAAATGGCATCTATTATAATATTGGTGTACAGTTCAGATTTAAAGTGTCATGATTATTACTGTTGTGCTTTGTTTTTTTGTTTTTTTTGGTTTTTTATGCTTTTTCTGTTTTTGCAAGGGCCCGATTTGAATTAGATTCCTGTTGGATTTTGATGTATCAGTTTGTTACTAAAAATATGCCATCATATTGTGGAATTAATAAGCTGACTCAGAGTACTAGAACTATTGCATGTACAGAATGTATTAAGAGAATATTGACCTATATGACCAATATTTCTTGCTCATTTCAATTTAGATGGGCAGTATTATAGACCCAACAAAGACGAATCGGAAGTAGGACGTTTTGGTGACACCTATGCAAAAGGGTCCAGTCAAAAATCTTCAATTCATGATGAGGGAAACAAATGGATGTTTTATAAAGTCCCATCTGGACTAAAGGCCTTGCTGGGCCAAAATTCAGGAGGAGGTCAGTTTCTTTTAATTGCGTTTAAATATGGAATTAAAGTGGTTCTAAAGCCTTAATCCTAGTACACACTATGAGAAAATCAGACGACCAATCGTTCAATTTTCCATGAAAGTGCATATCATGATGTAGTCAGAATGGTATTGCCTTGTGCAAAATTTCTCGGGCAAAAAAGGCGAACATAGCTACGTACTAGCACAGTAAAAGAGGAAGAGTAGGGTTGTTCTATACTTCTGAGCATGCGCATTTTCTTCTATTTGATTATTTTTGTACAATTACTGTACATATTAAAGGAAAATCGGACGTTTTGTTCACTTATGATAAAAATTTTCTAGCCTGCACCTTCAGTTTTTGTCGTCTGAAAAGCCAGAATCGGCTCTCGAAAGCACTAACGATCAAATAATCGTCCGATCGTGCATCGAATTAACGTTTTCTTTTCTGATTTTCTTATTGTGTGTGTGCACCTTTAAGGTTTTTTTATTTTGATGCATCCTCTGCATTAAAGTGGTTGTAAACCCTTTCACATACCCAGTGAAATGGCTGGCCTCAGGTGATACACAGAGATGAAAACACATCCTCCTACATACGTTGTACCTGTTTATCCATAGTCTTCTCTCCTCTACATCTTTTTAATGTGCTGTATTTATAAAGCTTGTCTGAGAGTTCAGAAAAAAGGGGATGGAGAGCTGAAATTACAAACTGCAGAGCTCAATGAGGAGAGCTCTGAGAGCCGATTGGAAGGAAGAGGAACACCCCTTCCACACAGCTCAGAGGAACAGAGCTGAGGCTGACAATTTACTTGAACTAGCTCCCCTGTCACCATTTTTTTCTTGGTGTCAGGAAAAAACTCAATCTAAAGCAGGGGAATTAAGCAGTACACATGAATGACACTTAGGGGTTGATTTACTAAAACAGAAGAGTGCAAAATCCGGTGCAGCTGTGCATGGTAGCCAATCAGCTTCTAACTTCAGCTTGTTCAGTTAAGCTTTGACAATAAAACCTGGAAGCTGACTGGTTTCTATGCAGAGCTGCACCAGATTTTGCAATCTCCAGTTTTAGTAAATAACCCCCATAGTGTTCTTATTAAAACAAGTGCACACTATAGAGGGATTTGCTTTGTTCATATTTCATGTATAAGGTTTACAACCAATATAGGGTAAAAATACCTTCTGTACCACAGTCCCCCCCCCCCCCCCAGCCCCCTGATCTTGATCCAATATGGACAAAAAAGTCAGCGCTTGGAGGTACTGGCAGCTAGCAACTTATGTAAGCACACAAACCCTTTTTGAAAATCACATAACAGAAAGTGCAGCACCAAAAAGAATTCTCAATATTCAATTCTATTCTTTTTTTAATAATCATACATCATACATCATACAATCATACATCATACTTACCTGCTCTGTGTGTTAAGAATTCTCAATATTCCATATAACAAGTGTGGATCAAATTAACACCAAGTTCATTATACCAATGTACATGTCCACATATACAAACAAATAAATAAAATAAAGTCCCAGTCCGTGACTTGTGTCTTGACTCCAATACTTCAATAATTCGTATCTAGATTATATCTTCCACCCAACATAAGAAACTGTGCCACAT